AAATGAATACAAGAACAAACTTAATAACCAACAATGTCTAATAACAAATGATGGGAAAATAACCTATTTTAAATAACAAAAAATACTAATTATAAAACAGTAGTAGGGAAAATTAACAGTTCTTTTGCAGAAAGATGAGCATATCTGCTTTTTCTGGAAGGATACAGGATCTTTCAGAGCTTATGGTGTCTCCAGCGGTGGAGAATACCCTCTCAGATGGGGTGGAGGAAGCCTGCACACAGAGGTAGTTTTCAGCCAGTCCAGATAGCAAGGGCAGCGTATCTTGCTTGTTCCACCACCACAGTGTGGCGCTATCCCTGCAGGGGATGGAGGGCAAGCTTTTACAGAGCTGGATTTCCTGATCTACCCTCTGGGCTAAGAAAAGACGGGGCTTTGATTCACAAAGTGACCGCAGCTCGTTGTCTTCCTCCTCGAATAGTTCTTCCAACTTGCGTAACTTGCGTAACGTACGTAAAAACGTGACGTAAGTCGTGCTCCCCAGAGCCGGCGCTCTAGGCTCTGGTGCTGCGGGAATCGAAAAAAGAATCGTTCAGCGAGCTGCGAAACGATGCCATGGAATCGGAAAATACGGAACCGGTTCTTAACAGGAACCGGTTTTCGATTCCCATCCCTAACTTTGAACGCTACAAAGGACCAATAGTTGTACCTCTCTAATGCGAGTTTCACTCGTGTAAATCTTCACTCATTTAAGATTTTACCCACATTTCTGTATATCTTTAACCAAATTTATGGTCTTTTTACAGTTTTTTTGGCTCATTCAAAGTATTTTTCTGATTTTTTTAAATACCGTATTTTCACGACCATAAGGCGCACCGTACTAAAAGGCGCACTCTTAGTTATGTGTCCCATTTCTGTATTTAACACACACATAAGGCGCACCGGACTATAGGGCGCGTTTTTTATATACAGGTACATGTCCTCTACTACCTTTAAATATCACTACTGCGTATTTAAAAATACAGCGGGGGCAAAACTGAGTATGACTGTGCTTTATTCATGTATTTATTAAAAAGTATTAATCAAACCTGGCAGCTGACCATGAGACAGACACATCGCAGGTGACAGAGCTGTGATCACTCCTAAATTAACTTAAAATCCTGAAACCTGCCGACGGAATATGTTCGCTTTTATTACCGGTATCCTGGTGCCTGCAGTTAAAATTATTTAGATGAAAAACACCTGCCAGCCACCGCGTGAACCTGGAGGCTGCCCAGCCTAGCTGCTGATGAAAGGATTTCTCCTGTCGGCGCACCGCTGCTATGTGGGAGTCTGAGCGCCTCCGACAGAAATAGATAATCTGGATGAACTGACTGCAATTATTAAGTTTTCAGGTGGACTTTCTCACTTAAAAACATAATAAAACTACTTAATTCCCGCTGATCACAGCAAATATAGCTGCAAGATTTAGATTATTTAGATGAAAAAACACCTGCCAGCCACCGCGGTGAAGAGGAGGAGACGCGCCCAGAGGCTGCTGTTGAATTAAGTTTTCAGGTAGAAAAATAGAGCGGGAGCAAAACTGAGTATGATTGTGCTTTATTCATGTATTTATTACAAAGTATTAATCAAACCCATCAAAGTCATCATCCTCTGTTTTTGAATTAAACAGCTGCGCTAAATCAGACATGCCAATTTCCCCTTCTTCGCTGTCAGTCACTTTCCGTGCAGCGCAGCTCCTCAGAAATAATGCCGGCTTTTGCAAAAGCTTGAAGAACAGAGCCAGCAGACACGTTAGTCCATCTACAATCCATCCGCAAACGGTGGCGTAACTTGCCCGGCGCTGCCTTCCACTTATCCTGAAACTGTGGTCTCCGTCGGTCATCCATCGCTCCCACGCCGCTCGCAGCCTTACTTTGAACGGCCGCTTCACACCGATGTCGAGCGGTTGAAGTTCCTTTGTCAGACCCCCGGGATAACGGCGAGCACAGTATCCATTTGATTCACCTTTTTTTTTCACATCGGCTGTGAGATGGGCACGCAGCGATGGTGATGCGTGGAAAAAACCACCTGGTCTCCTCACATAGGCTACACCTCCCTCAGCCATGCTTTCATCATCTCCTCATCAATCCAGCCTTTTTCATTTGCGTTCATATGTCATCAGAGCGCTGTGTCTGTCTCGCTGTCAGCTCCCAGATCAGCTTCTCTGATTGGTTGATGCGGCGAGTCCAGCAGCAAGACTTCAATTTTTCCATCTCGAGCAGCAGCAGCGCGTTGGCAGATGCTTAAACGCTCCTGCTGCTCAAAACGCGCTGCAGGACCTTTTGCTGCGCCTATACGCGCGTCAACCATTGACTTTGCATGTAAACTCGCTGCTTCTCCTGCACCTGCTGGGTCCGGTTCACACCGATGTCGAGCGGTTGAACAGCGAGCACAGGGTTAATTTGTTTCCCCATGTTTTTCACATCAGCTGTGAGATGGGCACCCATGGAGTCACATATTAACAGCGATGGTGATGAGTGGAAAAAAAAAAAACACCTGGTCTCCTTACATTCAGCCACTCTTTTATCATCTCCTCAATGGGGTGGTCTCAAAAGTCGCAGTTACAACACACATAGGGCGCACCGCACCATAGGGCGCACCGCACATTTTGAGGGAAAAAAAAGACGTTTAAGTGCGCCTTATAGTCGTGAAAATACGGTAACATTGATTCAGGATTGAACCATAAAATGACTTGATAAATCTTTTGATAGAAATAGGATTTCATCATTCACCCACCTCAGACATTCCCCCTTCTTGTGTCCTTCTGTACATTTTTTATGAAAGATGCTTTGCTTTGGTTCACCTATAAAATCCAACTGACCAACTGAAGGAAAGTATTAACTAGAAATCTCAAATGGTTTTGATGGTTTCTTCTAAATAGACTTGAATTATGATATTGAATATTTTTCTTTCTTTCATGCCATTTTTTATGTCAGCCCTATTGTGGTGCTTTAAAAATAAAGGGTCCTTAAATGCCAGAGTCTTGTTTTAAAGATTATTTCCAAGGCTAGTTTCAGAACAGCTGGAAATTTGTTATGCTGGGTCTGCTGCTACACCCTACCCTCAGAGTTTTTACACTTCCTTTTACTGACTTGCTTTTGCGCTTTGCTCTGCTCCTCTGGTCAGAGTATTGCCCCCCGCCCCCCATCTCCCACCACCGCTACATCACATCTTTCTTCATCTTGGAACAGTAAATGTTAAGATCCAGGAGTGGATCAATGGCTCTTATCCTTTGATGTGCTGAGACGCATTACGAGAGGTGAGTTCTAATTGGAGCAGAGAGTTGAGGATCGATGTTGGCTGTAATTGCTTGACACAGGGATGGGTGTGAGACTTTATTATCATTAATATTTAGACATAATGTGGGAGGACTCAGCCCAGGCTAAATGTACAACAGCCGTGCAGACCTTTGATCTCTGGAGCTAAGCAGATCGATCAAATTTGAGAAGTGGTCGAAGGAAGAGAGATGGCGGAAATGGCCAGCTGAATGCACAAACTGGTCTGGCCTACACCTCAGATTTCATTATGTTTCTTCAAATTCTACCCTTCTTTAAATCTGCCAGGGCTGTAGCTCTTAGGGAGGAGATAAATGAGGATTATTTATTTTATAATTTCAAAATAAGGGTTGTAAACTCAGAATTATTGTCAGTAATTGACAATGCCGCACTCACCCTGGCTTTTCTCTTTTTATTTACTATTAGTAGTTGAAGGTCAAATTTGGATCTAGTGGTTTAGGGTGGCAAAGATGAAGAAACGCTTGTGATTATGTGTTTGACAGGGTCTATTGTTTGGGGATTGTAATCAAATATTTTGCAGCAAGAGTTGTTATTGGAATCAGAGTGCTATCTTGGTGTCACTAAACACGAGAAAATGTTACCTAATATTTTGGAAAACAGAGAGAAGACACTTATGGAACACTCACACTACCACCATGGCCAAAGGGAGCAGAGAAGATCCCCATAGAGGAGACTGAGGGCACGCTGAAACTGTGACTCTTTTATTTGTTCTCCCAGTGCTGTCTCTGCCTCTCTTTTTGTCTCAAAATCGTTCCCCAAGCATTGATACCTTATCATTGTACTTAGCAGAAAGATCAGTAACAGTTTGAACAAAAACAGGTGTGTTCGCTTTCACGTGTGTGACCTGCTCTCTGTTATTGGGCAGACTAGGGAGAATCCCTTTGTTTACCAGGTCAGTGAGAACGCTGATTCTACAGCGAGCTTGTAAATTAAACTGTAACACGGGGGAATTACCCGGATTGTGACCGAGGACGTGGCCCTAAACCAACTAGTAGACCACTAAAAGTATCAAGTAGCCTAGGGTCTCCCAATTAAATGTACCTAGGTAAGTCTGGCTTAGAAATGAGGAAACAGATTTAGTATACAAATTATATATTTTATTTATGGATTATTTTACAATTGGAAGACAACTTTATTATTCTATTTTAAAATCCAATAAGGCACAAGAACCCGTGACAGAAGAAGCAATCTGAGACTCTAGAAAACACTGCAAACCACGTTAGTAGCACACAAGATCAAACAAGATTATATTAATTTAGAAGAACACGAATCTCACGTTGCGTCCTATAGAGCTGCGCCCAATCAGCTTATTAATAAAATAAATAAATGGTCGTTCTGGTTCTGTAGTGCCCGTGCTGCAACTCTAGCTCCAGAGAAAACCTTTTACCAAGAGCATAACAAAAAAAAGGGGTCTCAATGGTGAGAGCATAATAAAAAAAGGGGTCTCAATGGTGAGAGCATAATAAAAAAGGGGTCTCAATGGTGAGAGCATAATAAAAAAGGGGTCTCAATGGTGAGAGCATAATAAGCAACAGCAGCAATCTGTAACAACCAAAAAAACAATAAAGTGTCTGCGGACCATTATACAGGAAATACAGAAATAAAAGAAAACAATGTACCTTCATCAGCCTCAGACAGGGATATATGCAGACGCTTCCATGAAAACTTTTCCAGCAGTGCAGTACCAAGATCCAAATTCTGTGTAGCAGCACGGCTCCCAATGCTCAGAAGAATCTACTGCACACCAAACTAAGCCGACTCTCATAGCTTGCTTGCACACCTGGTGCCTATATACGCTAATGAGCCTGTCAATTCTGTAAAGCAGACGTGAAGGTAAAGAAACGGAGCTGTGATGTGTTCAAGGACCCAAAACGGGTGGGAATTTACACCCACTAGACCACCCGGTTACATCCTACCCCCCCTCTGTGGATCGGTGGCCCAACGATAAAGACTAGGACCAAGGCCGAAAAATGGCTGTAGCCAAGCTGCTGGCACCAGGGATCAGAGAAGCAGCAGCCCCACTATCTTCATTCCTTGCAGGTACTGGGAGACGATGGGGATTGGAGTGTTTTCCAGCAGTTTTACGAGTTGATCTTCTAGGCCCAACCCTACTGCTTTGAGAGGTTTGTGGAGACTGTGGCACTTCAACAGGCGTCCGAACTGTAGGGATATCTGATGGTTCTTGTACCAATGGCATGGCTGCATTACTGCCAGTCTCTCGGAGCACCAACCAAGATCCAGACGCCACATCATCCTCATCAATGTTCTCCTCAGGTGCCTGCTGTGACCAATCATTGCAGGTCTCCGTGATCGACAGGGCAGGCTTTATAGAGGTACGATGTACTTGTCTAACCAGATGGAGCTTGTCAACAGGAGCAATTGAATAGACCACACCGTCGGAACTTGGTGCTTTCACGACCTGGTACACCGTGGAGCCCCATGCATCCTGGATCTTTCGGCGCCCTGGGCCAACATCACGCAGATACACTCTTTGCCCAACTTCCAGTGGCTCGCAGGTGACCTTTTCATCATGTCTCACTTTTCTCCTGTGGGCTGCCAACTCCACTCTGCCTTTAACAACGTCAATGGCCATATTTAGACGCCTCCTGTGCTCTGCCACCCAATCACAAATTTTAGATCCTGTGGGCTCAGGAAGATGGCCAAGCAGAAAGTCCACTGGCAGGTGGGGCTCTTGTCCAAACATGAGGAAGTGAGGTGATTCACCAGTCGACTGATGGGCAGTGGTGTTGTAATAGAAGACAAGCTGTGGGAGATGTTCTGGCCAATTTCGTTTTTCCTCTGGTGCTAGGGAACGAAGCAGATTGAACATAGTTCGATTGAACCTTTCACATTGTCCATTTCCCTGTGGATGGTAGGGTGTAGTGCGACTCTTCTGCACTCCATACAACTCACATAGCTGTTGTACCAGGACACTTTCAAAGTTCCTCCCCTGATCCGAGTGGATACGGGCCGGCACCCCAAAACGGTAGAACCACTCACGAACCAGAACCTTTGCCACAGTTGTTGCTTTCTGATCACGTGTTGGGACAGCTTGGGTGAACTTTGAAAATACATCTGTCATCACCATCACCAGCTCCCTTCCATCACGGGCTGGTTCCAGAAGTGTGAAATCAATGGCCAACAGCTGATTTGGTCTTGAAGCGAGAAGGTGACCCATAGGGGCTCGAACTCTTGGCTGGGTGTTCTTAGCAAGGGTACACCTCTCACACTGTTCGCACCAATCCTTTACATCTTTGTCCACTCCCGGCCAGAAACATCTCTGCTTCACCACATTAATCGTCCTCTCGACCCCCTGGTGGCCATGATGTTGATGAAGCTCCTGCAACACCTCTGTTTTTAAACTCTGTGGGAGAAGAACCTGAAAAACTTCTTCTCCACCATCTGGTCTCCACGTGCGCCGGTACAAGACGCCTTCCTTCTGGACAATTCGGTCCCACTGTTTCAGAAGTCCACGTGCGCCTGGCCCCAAACGCTCCTTTTCAGCCCGGCTCGGCACCCTTTGTTGCTGCCAAAAGTCCAGGAAGGCTGAAATGGCTGGATCAGCTCCTTGAAGTATGCACAGATCTTCTCTGCTGCGAGATGGAAGGGCAATAATTGCCAACTGGGCTGCATCCTCCTGTAGCCCACCAGCCCTCTCACAGATTTCTGGAACTGCTGTCCCAGGGAGGTGGTGCTGTAGTTGTATTCGGTCCCCATTTATTGATTGTCTTGAGAGGGCATCAGCATTCTTATTCACACGACCTGGACGATACCTGACTGTATAGTCAAATGCAGAAAGTTCAGCAACCCACCGATGCTCCGTGGCCCCCAGTTTGGCAGTGTCCAAATGGCTCAATGGGTTATTGTCAGTCCAGACGACACATCGGTGGCCCCACAGGTACTCTTTGAACTTTTCAGTCATGGCCCACTTCATGGCCAACATCTCAAGTTTCATGGAGCTGTAACTTTTCTCAGCAGCATGCAAGCTGCGGCTGGCATATGCAATTGGTCGTACCCGTCCACTCTGCTCCTGCGACAGCACGGCTCCCAACCCACTGTGGCTGGCGTCTACCTCTAAAATGAAGGGCAATGAGAAATCAGCAAAAGCAAGAGTGGGAGCACTTACAAGCTTGGCCTTTAGTTCCTGGAAGCTCCTTTCACAGTCTTCTGACCACGCTCCTTCCAATAGTTTCCCTTGTCCTCGACGCGTCTTTGAGGCAGGATGTCTGGAAACAAGGCGATGAAGGGGGCCAGCCAATTGAGAGAATCCTTCAACAAACCTCCGGTAATAATTGGCAAACCCAAGGAAGGACCGGAGCTCTGAGACATTGGTAGGGTGAGGCCAGTTTGACACTGCTGCGATCTTGCCTGGATCTGTGGCCACACCGTCCTCAGAGATGCAATGTCCCAGGTACTGAACCTGCTTTTTGAAGAAGTCACATTTCTCCAACTTGACCTTCAGTCCTTCTTGTTTTAGACGACTTAACACCACCTCGAGCCGTGCCAGGTGTTGATCAACACTGGAAGAGAACACAACAATATCATCCAGGTATAACAAGAGTGACTGACCATGCTGAGCCCCAAACATCCTCTCCATCAAACGTTGAAAAGTTCCTGGTGCATTGCACAACCCGAATGGCATTCGATTGAATTCAAAGAGGCCAAACGGCGTGCAGAAGGCAGTTTTTGGGCGATCATTTTCTGCAACTGGAACCTGGTTATAACCACAAGCCAGGTCCATGGTTGTGAACCAACGAGCACCCGATAGAGAGTCCAATGTTTCTTCTATTCGAGGCAATGGGAAAGCATCCTTTCTGGTCTTTTTATTGAGCTGTCTGTAGTCCACACAAAGGCGAAGACTGCCGTCCTTCTTTCGAACCAGGACAATTGGCGAGGCATAAGGGCTACTGCTTTCACGAATGACCTGGGTTGCCAGCAGCTGGTTAATATGTGACTTAACTGCTTCGTACTCAGATGGAGGGATACGCCGATACCGCTGCCGTACAGGAACAGTGTCTAACAGTGGGATGGTATGCTCGATCAAGTTGGTAACCCCAAGGTCGCCATCAAAAGCAGAGAACACAGACTCGTATTTTAGCAATAACGCTCTCACTTTATGCTGCTCTTCCCTATCCAGCATAGAGAGATTAAGTGACGTTATCTTTTCTCCAACCGACCCAGTCTGAGCAGTATGAGATCTGACTGCAGCCACAACTTGCTCCTGTACACAAGGGACTTCCTGCAATTCTGACGGTAAGCTGACCACTTCTACAGGGGACACGACACCCAAAGCACAACGGGGTTTTAGTGAAACGGTACATACCCCTACATTCACCACAGGGACATAAACAGTGCCCCTAAAAACCTGTAGAAGGGAAGGAGACACCAACAAACCCTCAGGTAAGCCAAACCTATCTAACGGCTCAATTAATGCGCCCCCAGCCTGCGTCAACATGGCTGAACAAGTGGCAGGTACAAATTTAGTAGTGCCTGCAGGGACCACAACAGGTCTTCTACCACGAAGCTTTGCAACACTGGTTTGAATTTGGTCTTTTTGACTCTCAGCCTGTTGACATAGCTGAAAGGCAGGAAGCCAGGAAGTAGGGGCCCCCAAAACAGAAGTGAGTTTAAACAAATCAGGGCCATGCTGGTCAAATAGCTGAAGATAATGGGCTTTTATTATATTCATCCCAATTATGCCTGGTACCTGGGGTAACTTTGCTTGGCATGGAGGGTCCCTAACAACAAGGATCCCTCTTCTGGGGATGACTACCCCACACACCTCAATATCAGGCTCAAGATAGCCCAAGTAAGGGATACTCAACCCATTTGCTGCTCTCAACTCCAACCAATGGCATGCCTTTAGCTTATCTGGAAAATGCTTTTTAAAGAAACTCTCTGAAATGGTAGAAACCATAGACCCAGTGTCAAGAATACATTGTACTGGAACTCCAGATAGTTTCACAGTAACTTCAGGGCAAGGTGCAATTAAACACTCAGCCACCTCATCCATTTGAGGACCCTCTGAGCCTGGACCACCCCCTCCTAATGTCTGGCTCCTAACACTAGGGGGAGTTAGTTTCCCTGCAACTGAGAACTAGTGGTGGCTTGGACCTGAGGGGTACCACTGGCACACGGGGGCTTAAAACGGCCACGAACTGTACAATACCGAGCAATGTGGCCTGGCTGCTGACATTTGTGACATATCACACTACTAGGACTGAGAGGCCTAGCCACCGAAACCTGCTGCATAGCTGCAAGACATTGAGTAATCTGATCCAACTGTTCCTGCTGTTTTTGCACAATTGAATTAAGAGTAGCAAGTTGAGAAGCAACACAACTGGAAGGAGGGTCAGTTAAGGAAGGGGGCACACTGGCACTCTGTACAGCACAAAAGGAGGGGACCACCCTACTTTTATTTTCCACCCCACCCTCACGCTCCCACATAATGGCCTCCGCTCTAACCTCAAGTAATGTACACCTTGGATTATCACGAGCATAACGTTTTAGCTCTCTACGCAGGTCAGAACTACTAACATTCTGAATAAATTGATCACGAAGTAAAATGTCTGCATTTAACACAGCATGGGGAGCACTAGATTTAACTTTGTCCATTAAGCAAAACAATGAATGAGAGAATTCCTGCAAAGATTCACCATCTAACTGTCTCCGTGAAAAGAAGTCCTCCTGTAATGAGACATACGACTGTTGGCAACCATACAGTTCCTTTAAAATGGTGAAAACAGTTTCTGGATCCTCACGTTCAGATGATGACCTATATTTGATCTCATCTCGAGCTTCCCCTTCAAGATGGTCAAAAATGAAAGCAGCCTGATCTGTGGGTCCAACATGGCGGACTCGCATACTGGTGCGAACCTCTTCTATCCAGTCCTCCACCCCAACACCATGAGTTCCTCTGAAGATTGGACATTTTCTCTCTCTTGGTAGGTAGATTATGCGATCAGCCCCCCTGTTCGTCGGAGTGCCACTTGTACTTGGGCCAGCTTGTACATCATCCTGTCGATTTGAACTTGCTAATGCAGAATCCCTCTCCTGCTGCAGACGGCTCCTTTCGGCCTCCAACTGCTGGACTCGAACACGGAGTTCTTGAAGTTCCTCATCCATCGCACCAGGAAATGATGATCCTTGGTCACAGCTTCGTCTATCCAGCTAGGTCCCACGATGTGCTTACTGTTGCACTATTATGCTCTCACCCAAAAAAAAAAATCTATAAGGATCTCTACTAGAGCACCACAGAACCAGCACAATTAAAATCAAGAGAAGAAAGAAGAGGAAAAAAAAAAGGATCTATACACACAAACACTATCTGTTCCAACTGCCAGATCCTACCAGCAACGCCAGAAAATTGTAACACGGGGGAATTACCCGGATTGTGACCGAGGACGTGGCCCTAAACCAACTAGTAGACCACTAAAAGTATCAAGTAGCCTAGGGTCTCCCAATTAAATGTACCTAGGTAAGTCTGGCTTAGAAATGAGGAAACAGATTTAGTATACAAATTATATATTTTATTTATGGATTATTTTACAATTGGAAGACAACTTTATTATTCTATTTTAAAATCCAATAAGGCACAAGAACCCGTGACAGAAGAAGCAATCTGAGACTCTAGAAAACACTGCAAACCACGTTAGTAGCACACAAGATCAAACAAGATTATATTAATTTAGAAGAACACGAATCTCACGTTGCGTCCTATAGAGCTGCGCCCAATCAGCTTATTAATAAAATAAATAAATGGTCGTTCTGGTTCTGTAGTGCCCGTGCTGCAACTCTAGCTCCAGAGAAAACCTTTTACCAAGAGCATAACAAAAAAAAGGGGTCTCAATGGTGAGAGCATAATAAAAAAAGGGGTCTCAATGGTGAGAGCATAATAAAAAAGGGGTCTCAATGGTGAGAGCATAATAAAAAAGGGGTCTCAATGGTGAGAGCATAATAAGCAACAGCAGCAATCTGTAACAACCAAAAAAACAATAAAGTGTCTGCGGACCATTATACAGGAAATACAGAAATAAAAGAAAACAATGTACCTTCATCAGCCTCAGACAGGGATATATGCAGACGCTTCCATGAAAACTTTTCCAGCAGTGCAGTACCAAGATCCAAATTCTGTGTAGCAGCACGGCTCCCAATGCTCAGAAGAATCTACTGCACACCAAACTAAGCCGACTCTCATAGCTTGCTTGCACACCTGGTGCCTATATACGCTAATGAGCCTGTCAATTCTGTAAAGCAGACGTGAAGGTAAAGAAACGGAGCTGTGATGTGTTCAAGGACCCAAAACGGGTGGGAATTTACACCCACTAGACCACCCGGTTACAAAACTAAACTTAACTTCTTTATAAAATAACTCTAAAGGCTTGAACAAACCAGACAAGATTGTGCATCTAATCTAACAGAAAATATCATGTTTCTGACAGCAAGCGAGGCACAGTGGCATGGTAAAACATCAGCTTTGGGGAAAATAAAAATTAAGATCTCGGAATCACATGGTGAACCAGCCAGATTTCGGCCTGTTTGGAAGCACAACGCATACAGTATATAGCCAGCAGGGCAAACTCGGACATAATAGATCAATGAAACACTTCAAGAAATTCAATTCAGTTTATTTATATAGCGCGAATTCACAACACAAGTCATCTCAAGGCACTTTATAGTTCAACCAGATCATACAGTCAAATTGATTCAAAGTTTTCTATCTAAGGAAAACCAGTTGATTGCATTGACTCATTGACTCAAATACAATCCCTCTGTAAACTGTCTACTTTAGCCATGACCGAAGCTCGGGAAGACAAAAAGCAGATACAGTGACATGGCAATCTTTCTTGATGTAAATTTAAAAAAAATATTTAAAAAAACAATGGGGGACACGCGTAGCTGATCATGTTATCTTAATTAAATTGAAGGAAAATTAACTTTAACAGACCTTACATAGAGCTCTCAGAGTCACTTTATGACTTGCCTCGCCAAGTTATAAACTACTCCAGTCTTTGTTTTAGCTATGTGTTCCTTGTTTTGTATTTTCCATTGAACTTATATTAGAATATTTTATCTGTTCTGTTTTTGTTTTGTCTGACCTTTCAGAATTTGACTTGTTTCTATGCAGGACATTGTGGGGAAACCGAGACAGTTGTAAATTGCAGCACAGCCATGCATAGATGGGGATCTAATCAGCCTATGCATTGTAGAGGCCTTTTTTTTTTTTTCACACGGCAGCCAATGGGAAATGAGGATACCACGTCAGATCTTACAGAGGCTCCCTCGAGCATCTCGATGGGCTTTTTCACTGTACCGGTGCTTCATCTGGACTAACACAAGAACATTTTATTTACTAGTTTATATCAATTTACTGATTTGGTTTTCCACAGCCATTAAGCTATACCATTCATTTGCTATATATATCTTAAAGTAATGTTCAAATTCTAACGTTTGTAAAGTAATTCAGTGCTTAGGTATAGTGGAAAACAAATATATCAGCGCGTTTTAAAACAGTTAGCTGATAGCCCAACAGCTTTGCTTCCACAAGCAGACCATTATGACTGTTGCTATAAGGTTCTGCTTGATACTTGTATACTAAACCTTTATTGAACATTATTTGGGGAGTAAAATAGGGAGATTCCTCTATTTTTAGACATGTTTATCTGGTCACCAAAGGAACTAATTCCAAACATTTCAAACAAAATTAAATCATGACTCTAAAGCATTAAACAAATGTAAATTTCTTCAGACCACCAGCAACTAACAAAAGATACTACCTTTTTATGCACACATGTATGAACTTAAATGTGTCTGCTAGTTTGCTGTGTAAGGCTCTTTCTCCCTGTTAATATTTGTCTGATAAAAAGATACGACTACTAGCTCAGAGGTTAATGAAAGAAATACTGTAACTTGGTTAGAATGTGTCTTTGAGGTGGAAAATCACATCAGTAACGTTTTCTCTGTGTAAATTTACCAATACCATCATTATAAAAAGAGTAAATATCTGAGACAATTAGCTTATGTTCCAAAAATTCTCTGCTGAAACCCAGGAAATATATATATATATATATATATATATATATATATATATATATATATATATATATATATATATATATATATATATATATATATATATATATATATACTATTTATGTACAAATGCCTATACAAATCTAATGCTTTAAATTTCAGTTTGCTGTAGAGTGTGTTAGAGAACTTTCTTTTAGCATCCAGCCCCTAGTGATCACAATTCATATTGCACCTCAGAGCCCAGGCTCCTGTGCAGTCTTCGACCAAACAGACAAAAGCTGATTATACTGTTTAGATAATAAACTTCACAACTCCTGCTCCCGTCTCTGGCTTGGCAACCCGTCATTATTGTTGTGTGACCAACACTGGCTCTTGTTCTCTATAGTCATGTCTTTCCCTCTTTCCATTCCTGTCTTCATCGCTGACACTACAGTACATGCCTCAAACAACAGAGCCATTGTGAGAGTTTGAGGTTGTGAAACAAATAGGCCATTATGCTACATTTTGATAATTTTACAAGGTTTAGCCAAGTTGATTAAAATATATTTGTATATCTGATGCAGCACAAATGTAAATATCTGTGAGTTAGAAAATAATTAAAGTTCTTTTGAATTAATTTTAGTTTGTTTTGATGAATGTGGCTATCTGCTAATAAAAATCTGAAGGTTTTATGGCCAGGGCTACTTTTGAGGATATTCATCTAAACTGAAGTACACTTGTATTAGTGGATTCTATTCTATTCTAATAGCATCCCATCGATAATATATATGAAATAATTTAAGGGGAAAACTATTATTTTCATTGTAGCCTGTTATATTAATTACTTTATCATTAGCATTGATATAATTTGTCTTTCTTCTTCAAATGTGTCCCTTTTTGAAGTCCATGTTTAGCATAATTTAAAGGCTTCCTTTATCATGAACAGTGAAGTTTGCTCAGCTAAAAGTAAGTTTGTCTTGTGTGTTTGTGTATAATTTTTGAAGAGGACTTGTGTATTAGTATTTATTTTGGCTGTGAGAGTTGTCTCATGCCTGAGCCTGTGTGGATGAGGGAATGAGATGGGAATTAGATGAAGAGGAGCTTTCGCACTCACAGGCGTCCCCATCTGTTCGCCTGAGCTTAATTTTTCCTGCATGTGAAGACACAGGGAAAAAAAGCAAAGGAAAGCAACTGTACTCATCCCCTGTCCCAGAGTTATTTCTGTAACATTAAAAGACTGCCACCAGCATGCTCAAGATTATTGCCATGTAAATAGTGGCACTTGGCTCGATTCCCCACTAATGAATGTCATTTACTCTTTTAAACAAGGATTAATTATCGACAGAGGACCCTTCTCTCCTCCCACAGGGAGCATGTCGCAATTAGCTGCCAAAGCATGACTGCTAACATTTTTGTTTTTATAATGTATCTATATGTAGGCATATGCTCCTGTGACGAAAACCCTTCCAATTAACTGCCTGCAGTTTAAAACTTAGAGATTTGAAAAGAGGCAGCTGATGTCAGAATAATACCTTTGCTTAAGTTGTGCATAAAGGCTTATGTTCCATGTTGGCACTGGACATTGTTGTGAAAGGAAAAAGAGACAGTCGTTCTACTTTGGAGTTAGCCTCTTGGATGCAAAATAAGGCTGAAAAAACAAACACAAGCCTCAAATTAGATTTTCCAAAACATAGCATTCCCTCTCATTTTACACACCACTGTGGCCTGCAGACGAGAATAGAATAACCACTGAAATCCGCCTGAGGAATCGATTGGCATAGTCACAGGAACTCTTGACAAGGAAGAGATCTCTTCATTCAACTTCATAACGTCTTTATAAATCAAGCTAGTTTTTTTTAACCTTTCTCCACCGTCAAATCTACCTCTTTTCTAGCTTTTGTTCTTGCAGAAGTTCTTTTTAAGCTCCTTGCTCTCATTCTCGCATTGTAGGGTTATTTCTGTTCCAAGTGGGAGTGTTTCAAGTTTTAACCTACTTCATGAGCCGAGTTTAGTGAAACACAAGGCCGGGGATGCAGCGTTTAGAGAATTTTGGTCAATTTTCAGTCACGGATTTTGCAATGCTTTGACCTTTGGATACCAATTTTATCCCACATCTCTGTACGTTACATAAACACAACATTTAAAACCTTTTGCACTAATACAGTAAAATCCCTCAGCTTATGGAGCAGAGGAACACTGTGTATACAAATACATCTCGATGCAGATTATACCTTAACCAGCTGCTTTATTTAATAATTAAACATTTAGAAGGGCAATGTAAATGGTAATGTTCACTTTTTAAGAAATATATTTACAAAGCTCGGTTTTGATTTTTTTTTTCTTTTTCATTTACTTGCCACTTACCGTAACTATAGATAGATCTTAGAGAGTAAGGTGACCACATAAAACTATAGAGCGCACCTATACGTCGCGCCCACTATGTTTTTTAAAAGCTGGAAACTTGCAT